CTGAATGCCGACCAATCATCGGCCAGTAACTCTTTCGTGAGAACGGATGAAAGGGGGGATGAATGAGGGGTAACCATTTCCCATCTGAGCTGGATTTTAACCAGATAAGGGAAAGTCAGAGGATGTTCTCTTCTGTGAAAGGAAGTAACATCTGTTATCTGGGTTTTTCCCACGTTAAAACAGTATTTTTCTCACAAAAATTAAAGTAATATTTGATGACATTATTTTAACGTAAATAATAAAATATTAATTTAGACCCAGGGGCCTTTCGGGTCTCACACTGATACTAGATTACTAGACTGAAATATAATTTTTTTTTTTATTTTTATATTTTTCAATATATTTATTTTGTTTCTGCAAAATAAAGAAATAATTTTTAACAATACAATAGCCACAATTATTATTTTTAAAAAATTTTCATTAGGCTTAACATTGATGAAAATTCAATGCAAAGTGACATGCAACGAAGAAAAATTTCAACATGGGATAGGTTAATATATTTTTTCATACATGATCAGTTATCTGAACAACCCCAGTCTCCAAATAGTCCTGAATTGTTTCGGATAATCAATGCTCTACTGTAATATGATGTTAATTACAAAGATTAAAATTACAAAGATTAAAATTAATGATTAATTAGAGTATTATAACTTCTTGAGAAGCCAGAACATGAAATAATATAATCTGTGTATTATAGCTATGCATTTAGAAAATCTGATGACAAAGCAAGACTCTAGTTCTTACTACTCAAATTAGCTGTTTGCTGTTGTATGAGTTCATAAGGGTCATACTCTGAGAAATATTCAAATACCTAGCTTAAGTCCCTGGAAACAAAGAGAACTTTTTGCAATTGAACCCTTTTCAATTCTTGCAGTCAAATATTCCCATCTTTAGTTCAGATCACATATGATTATACTTTAGATTAATATGAATTACACATAAAAATAAAATTTTTGCATATGTAAAAGTTGTTTTACTATATTAAATAAATGTAACTATGCAACATTTATCTGGTGTAGTTAAAAAGTTAAAACAAAAAAGCTAAAAGAGTATGAATGGTATGATATTACAGAAATTGAGGATATGCCACAAAAAACCAGTTATCAGTTGCTCATATAAAAATTTCTCAGAATGCAATGTTAGATCTAGTATTGATTCCAAGTAATAATTAAAAGACTTGCTGAGATTTAACATTTATACAATCATTTTAAAACTAAATATTCATTTAATAAATCATAACATTCTGTTATCTAAATCATTTACAGAGTTTTCATGTAACAAGATTTTAAATTTAATCAATAAATCTATTAAAAATATTTTTATTTACATTTTTAAGAATCTATAGAGAATATAAAATAGATAATAATTTTTGATCATTAATAAATAAAGAACTTAATTTTATAATAAACACTTACTTGAGTGCTAATCAGAACAGGACCAAATATCCATTCATCATGTTTTCCATTTTTTTTAGGTTTTTCACATAATTCTCTGTACCACCTAAAAGAACTTGAATAAATTAATATAACACTAATCCCAAATTTATATAGGATATATACAGCGTATCGCAGAAAGTCTGTGTCAAGCTTTAATCTCCTAATAAATACAAAATTTTATACATTGAATATATTAATTGATGCAAAAACTATTTTTGTACACTATTTTAATTAGTTGATCTCTGAACTATAATAGTCAAAATAACTGCAATATTAAAATTTCAAGTGGTAGCCCAATATCTTGTCGCAATTGTTTTAATGCATTTTTAATAATAAATTCAAACAGATTTTAAATTGATTAAAGCAGTCAGAAGTTATACCCAAAGATTCTTATCTATTAGATTCTATTAAAAGTGAAAATAACCATGTTTTCACTGAAAATGTTCTTATTTTAAAAATACTATACAGAAATATTGAGAATTGTGTTTACCATAAGTTTTCTAATAAAATTCATTTTGTGTGACAATGATTCATATTCAAAATCAAGTCAGATTTTGAGTTAAAATAATTCTTGAAAAAAGTACAGTCGACCCCCCTATAACGTGCGTTCCTATAACGACAATCCCTATAACGTAGCGAAAAAATTGTAGCAACATTCGTATAAAGCACCTCCTAAAACGTCTTCGCTGACTCGTTTCACGACAAGATTGATAGAGTCTGGACCAATAGTGGATGAGCAGCCGAACTACTTTCCTCCGACCCTGCGCCACGCTACGGAGCGGCTAAATTGAGTTTGCTATCGTCTGTACAGTATTATATATAAATTATATATAAATTAAGTACTGTACATATAATTATATATTAACTTAATTTATTGTAACTTTATTATAATTATATATATGCTCATGCGTGGTCTGTTCCGAATATGTCGCGTCCGGTTCCTCGTCCCGACCGACTGCATCAATTATGATCGAGCCAAACTCATAAAAAAGTCTTTTATTACCTACAGAATTTAAAAAAATGTTGAATAAATAAAGTTTCGACAGTTGACGAATGTTGGGAGACTATAAATGATTCACACAAGCAAAATTAACGTTAACAAAAAGAGGGAGTTTATTTCTACATCTAATCCGTTTGAGGGCAGCGGAGCAAGTGTTTACGTAAAGGTCGTAAGTTATGTCACCCCTCTGACACCTGACCGGCGATTAAGTACAGGGTGGGACAAGTTCCACGAAACTCGCTACAACGAATTTCTGTTTTGAAATTCTTTCGATTGTTCGTCTTCCGTAACTGATACATATAACAAATATTGATTAAATTTATACTGTATAATAATTATAACGAAACGTATTTTTGAACTTTATGTTTTAAACACCAACACGGGTCAAGTGATTAAGACCACTGAACACTAGTTGAGGTTCCCGCGGAGGTCCTACGTGTGGGTTAATGGCATTTTCAAGTATTTATTCACATATCTAACACCTAAACAGGGGCCAGTTTTGTATAGAAAGTTGACCACGGACACCGCCTTTCTCGGAAAATGGCCAGTTCCACGAGTTTCATCAAACCAAACTCGTAAACTTTCGCCATTGATTTTACCGTGTTTTTACGATTGTACATCCCGGAAGCGATTGTTCGTAAATGACAACTTTATAATTTAATAATAACCGATGATTAATTGTCTTACTTTAGTTGCTTCTCTGTATTCCACTGCTTTTCGACATCTTGGCAACACGAATCGAAGTATTCGTCTGTTAATTTAGACAATAACAATTGAAACTGTCAAATTATTAATCATAAATAAACAGATATTTATAACTTTATATCGCTTATATTTTAAATACGATACTAATAATGCAATACATAAATACAAAAATAAAGTAACAAGTTGGAAATCAATGGCGATACGTCAGAATTTTAGATTTTATTTAAATTTAAATCTAAAATGTCAGGACAATNTTTTTTTTTTTTTTAAGCGCCAGAATTTTTCATTGAGCTATTCGGACTTGAGTAGGTAATGTTGAAAGATTAATCGCAGGCCACATAAATTCATTAGACAGGCTGGATCTGGCCCGTGAGCCATATGTTGGCCATGCCTGTACTAGGGGTAAACCTAACACAGCTTCCCTGAGACACATTGTATAATAATACTGTGTATTTTTCACACTAATACAGTGAAACCTTAACTAATTCATCAGGGAAAACATTTGAACTTTGAGTTTAAAAGTTTTGAGTTATGAGGTTTGGCTAAAAATCAAGATTTTGTGCACCAGTTAATTGTTGACCCATAATAAACTATCCACACGATATTTCTCTGTATCTTATTATGTAGAACAGTTGTGTCAATGTAAACCTCCCAATGTTGTCTAGAAACTCAAAAATGCTTAACCAAATGGGTAAATAAGCTATTGAGAAATGCTTTCCCAAATAGTTGTATCCATTCACTCTTAAGTGTTTAATAAGGATTTTTTTTAATGCAATATTTCAATCTTCTTTTAATTTTTTTATCACAAAAAATCACTCTACAATTGTTATATTTTAAAAATTTTGCTGCAAAGGTTAAAATTTTTATATAGAATTGAACTATAATAATTTTTCTTAAACTAATTTATCAAAAATCCATTTATTTATTATGTCATCTAGTTGGAGAAATCTATCAGCAATTAAAAACCAAGTTAAAAAACAAAAGCATGCTTGAATGGTAGTTACAATATCTAGGTAAGGGGTGGCGAACCTATGGCACGCGTGCCCAAAGTGGCACATAAGGAAAATCATCTGGCACGTAACGTATCATATGATTTCTGTCTTTTTCAATCATCTTTTCGGTTTATCACCTGATCATCCTTTTTTCAACCAGCTTTTTTGCATTTATTCTAATTAAAGCGTATTCGTTTAATTTCTTTAAATATTGTTATTCTAAGTCTGAAACTTTGGCACGCATAAACATCTTTAAAGCTAAGTATACTTACAATATGGCACGCGAACACAAAAAGGTTCGCCATCCCTGATCTAGGTCATTCATGTTGTCTGTAAGTCACCATTCCCACCCATTGTCAAATGACACAATGTTTATTTTTAGTAATATGTGGTTCCTGCACTTTATAGAAAGTTTCTGATTCGTTTGTTTGACAGATGAACATTATTTATTTTATTTAATGGGAAAGTAAAATTAAAATTCTGGAGAGTTTATGAAAATACTGTATCAAAACCTCCTTTAAGTTAAACAGTTTGACAAATACAAGTTGACTAGTTTGATTGAGCTACAATTTGAAAAAAATTATATATCTATCCACTGTCGTTAATAACATTACTTCTGGTTTGCACCAGAAGTAATGTTATTTCAATTAAAAAATTTTCCCCTGAAAGAAGTTACATAGATGACTGGCATGATTCTATTGGTAAAGGAAAAATATGACATACAGGGGCAGGACCCTACTAATTTGAGGTAAACAAATATTTCAAAGTAAATAAATTTAAAATATGATTAAAAATTGCTGCCCAGCATTGTGACAATGTTACAATAAAATAACTGCTCTTTTAACATGTAAATCCCTATGCTGGATGACTGGGGAAAGAAAATTACTTCAAGTTATCCTGGTTCCACTGTATTCAGGTTATTTATCAAAAAGTTATTATTGTTTTCTACAAAATACAAAATTAATGAAATATTACAAAATACTGTAATTTTTATTCCTAAAAATTATAATTACTATGATTATTTAAATTATCTGTACAGTAATACCTCGACTTACGCGAACCCGGAGTTACGTGATTTTCAAATCTCGTCGATTCGTCTTTTGTTTGAGTGCCACGCAACTCTCGATTACTCACTCCCCCCACACTATTGTTCGGCTTACATGTTCAGACGTGTCACGCGGAATCGACACATAGCTACAATTTATTTTGTGTTATTTATTTCTGTGTTTGTTATATCTACGGAGACGTGAGAGACTCTGTGTGATGATTTCTTGTAACCGCGAACGAATCAAAAGACGAGATAAGATTAATGAGAACATTTATTAGCTTACATACATCCGACTTGGATTTTACATAAATTGGGAAATTATACCCCGACTTACGCGAATTCGACTTACGCGGTTATCGCTCGGTCCCACCTATCGCGTAAGTTTGGGGTATTACTGTATAAAGAAGAACAAATTTATTATTTAATATTTTTGGCTAGTATCTTTAGAATGTATTTATATCTTATGAAAAGCATATTTGATTAGGTTTCAATTTATAAATATATCTATTCTTGATAATTACATCAGTTAACCAAAAAAAATGTAAGCAAGTTTTTAAACTAAATTTTGAAAATGTGTCAGTAAAACGATTTAAAAAGAATGTTTATTAAAAATGAACAAAAATGTTTTATTCAAAAAAATAAACACCACCTGAATGGAAACTTTATCTGATTAGTCAAAAATGTATACATTGCTTGTATTTCTTATTTTTATATATACATTGGATATACATTGTATATTTCTTATTTTTAAAAGTGAATTATTATTCACTACTGATAAAATTTTTCAAAATACTTCTGATGTTTGTCATGCTTTCAAAACTGCTTTCATGGTATCATATATAGCCAGTCTGAAAAATAATTAAGCAACTGATGTTTTGTATAAATTAATGTTGATATAAATAGGAATTCATTGGCATTATATAAAGAAAAACTTCCATTACCATTTGGGACTATGTAAAGATACTGATAATTATAATTAAACACTGATTACAACAAGCAAATTTTATAAATGTGTTTTAACTAATGTTTTGAGACATACAGTAAAACCTTGCTAAGTTGCACTGTCTTAAATGAAAGTTTTCAATAGATCCCAGGCACAGTATATGGTGTTTTCTATATAATATTCTACTGTGATCAAATAGTATTGAAATGGTTCATTTAAACTACCCAAGCTTCCAGTCCAATCTCCTCTTCCAGACATATTTAAATAATATAACCATCCTTGGTTACATACAGTGTCAACTGCCTGAGTGCCATGAGTAAGAGTTTATAGGACAAGGTTGTTTGGCTTTACAAATGTATTGGGTTTCGTGATGTTTGTTATGTATGTATGTACTGTACATCACAAAACCCGATATATTTGTGAGAATCGGGGTTTAAGCTTTGCCGCTTAAACCCCCGATTCTCCGACAACAGGAAGGTGAGTCCTGCTCACGGAGTCAGTGGATGACGATTTAGGAGGGCACAACAAAAAAATAAAAATAAAAAAAATTGAGTGGGAGGTTGCGGTTAAGTCAATAAGGTGTTGGCTATGTGCGAGTAAACACACTCGTATCCAGGATATTAAACAGATTTAATAAAAATATTAATTAAACGAACATATATAATAATTAATAATGACAATAACAATAATATTAACGGCAATTCTGGTAAGACTGTTAATGGAGTTACATTCTACACGCTTGCGACAACAGAAGGGCTCTAACGAATTTTAACTAGTCCTGGACAACTGAGAGGAAAAAGAGAGAGAGATTTCCTTATAAGTTAAGAATTACCTTGCTAATCGCTCGTTGTCGGCAGTCAATTAATGATGAAGTGACAGAGAATGGATGTGGTCAGTCGTTGTCTGATGTCTTTGACATCACTCTCCCTGATAACAGGGTTGTGTGCTCTCTTTATACTCAAATCGTGTGGGTGAGAACTATCATACTGTTAACGATTTGTACACACACCTGTTCTTCGTGATCCTGGCTGGATCTAGCTAATATGGTATTTATTGATCTTGGTGTTTTTGAAGATGTCATTTTATGATATAAATTTTTATAGATTTGACAGCTCTCACCCATGAATTAACATTTAGTTGACAGTAATTTCAAATTGGTCAACAATCTCAACAAACTGGTCAACAATATTGTTTGAAATAAACAATATCAGGCTCAACGATGAACAAGGAGATTTATTACCCTCTTGTTTTAAGTTTTCCCTTTCCTTTTTCTTATACTCTTATTGCAGCCACATGTCACATGCAGCTAGAGAGGGAATGAGAAATGTTGGTTATTCCATCTTGTTAACTCTATTGTCTATTGGGTTACCATTAAACAAATGATGGTTTTTTCTCTTTTTGACATATATATGTTAACAATTATTTCAAGGAGATTGTCTTGGTCGTTGACCATAGAAGGTCCCTCCTCCCTCCTATACCAAATAAGGGGGTTTTTAAGAAGAGCAACACTGCTCTTGAGAAAAAGGGAAAAGGGGGGCCTCAGATCATCACATATTTGTAAAGCCAAACAACTTTGTCCTATAAACTCCTACTCATGGCACTCAGCTGGTTGGCACTGTATGTAACCAAGGATGGTTATATCATTTAAATATGTCTGGAAGAGGAGATTGGACTGGAAGCTCAGGTATCATAGCCAGAAACACACCTGCACAGTTCATTTAAATTGTGTGCATGCAAGAGAAAATTGTTGTCACTTTTTTCATCGTTCGATATGACTTTCATTGACGTCTAGCAGCAATCTACGTGTCATTGTCTGTTTTTGTTTGCAAAAAAAAATGCATGTTTTGCATGTAAAAAATTTTTGTGCCAACAATTGTTTTAAAATGTTGTGTGTAATTGAGCAAAGAACATGCACTAAATTTTGTTTTTGCAACAGAATTACTGCTACAAAAACATTGGAAATGTTGCAATCTTTTTGTATTGTTCTGTATTGTTTCCAATACTATATTTGTTTTGGAACAACAACAACAATACAGAACAATACAAAAGATTATGTTGGAGTCTTTTGTACTGTTCCAATATATAGGACCACTTAAAAGAAATTAATAGAATTAAAGAAATTACAACAACTTTAGGATATAAAACATCCACTATACAAGGACTTATCAGGAGTTATGAAGAAAACAAAGATAAGTCTCCAAGTACATCAATAGAATCAATAAATTCACATACAACAAACTGCACTGTAAATGAGCTTGCATCTTACGAAAACTCAAAGATAATTTACAAAAGAGCTCTTGATATTTACAGCTTACTGAGGAATGATAAAAATAAACTAAAGAAAGAAGAACAGGCTGGAGTATACAAAATATCTTATGAAAATCAACAGTTAAGGATTCAAAAATATTATGTTGTAGTCAAAAAGAAACCTCATGGTGCAAGGAACACAAGTACAATGTAGAAAAAGGCTACAGTAATACAATTTTAGTGACAATGTCACCATTGCCACTAAAATTGTATTACTGGTGTATCACAGGTGGAAGGCTCTGTTAAGTGGGATAAAGCAAATGTTATTAAAAAGATACATTCTCCATATGGAAAAAATAAATAAACACAAAAGCAAGATGGAAAGCAGTGTCTAAATACGAGAGATGCAAATGCACTACCTTCAGCTTTGAAATATATCATTGAAATAAGACTGGAAAAACCCTGAATGTGTGTCCTCCTATAAATTTGTATTTTGTTAACTTATATATTTCTTATGTTTACTTTTATTTATTAACCTTATATTTTTCATAATTTATTTATTTAATTTGTTTAACTTTAAATTTGTATTTAGAATACTTCAAACATTATAATTTAAATAGAATGTTCTATTTGTGAAACATTTTCTAAAAACAGATTTAAAAATCTGATGATGGACTATGCGAACAGGCTGAAAATGTTTGTTAATAAAATATTATCTCAGTACAATGCACAGGTGTTGTAGTAAGTTTATATTAATAAATTTTTGTTATTTAATTTAACTTAAGCATATTTAAATGTAAATTCTTGAATGACATTTATATTATGTGAATTTCAATTAATGTAGTTTTTATTAATTAATTATATTTAGATTCAACTGCATTGCATACCAAAAAACAGAAACAGTATCTTTCCTGCATGCACATTGAAATCTAATTTAAATAGCAACGTCACTGATGATTTGTGTCATGATGTCTAATGACACAAATCATCAGTGACAACAAATCTAGGTACGACTAACTTCTGAATCAGTAGCTCTGTTGTTAATTGGTTGGACCATTGACTTTCTTTACCATAGGAAATATAGGGAGTTGACCATCTGTGGTCAACTGAACCTGGTTACTGAACAAGTTACTCCCTACTGAACCCAGTTACTGAACACGCAACTCTTACAGAGTTGCTTGTTCAGTAACCAGGGCAAACATGAGTTCAAAATTTTGTTCATGAACTGAATTGTTCAAAAAGTGAAGCATTCGAAACCAAAGGTTTGACTGTATTTAAATGTCATCTAGCTTTTATTATGGAAAAGAATTTTTTTTATTTAAATACATTAAAATTGGAAAACTAAATGTTCTAAACTAATTCTAAAACTAAATATTCTTTATTTCAATACTAATTTAGAAATAAAAAAGCAAGTGATTAAAATATAGTAGTTAAGTATAGTCTGGAATTAAAATCAGCTTGTGAAAAAAATAATATTTTCTGCTATCATATTTTAATTAACTAATTATTTCTAATTTCAAGAATTTTAATTTTTTATGAACTTACAAAGGATAACCAGGAAGAAATGGTCTTATTTTTGGTAAGTAATTAGCAGTTTGAAGAATATCTTGAACTTTTTCAACTAATAACAATTCATCATCACTTACCTGCTTAAACAGAAGAAACGTATTTTAATTATATAAAGTATTATAATACACTGATAGTATAATGTACAATTACCTTTTTAAAAAGTTAAATTATATCAATTTTAAAAGTTAAGCTATATACTGTCAAGTAATTTAATTCAACAGTATAAAAAAACCTGCTTAACATGCATAAAAAGTATATGTTTCTATCCCTATATAGACTAAATTTCAAAATATAAAATGTATAAATTAAAAACAGATATCTAAACTTTAGTCCTATAATAATGCCTTTGATTTATTTGAACATTTTTAAAATGCATGAAATTATTTCATAAAACTGTTTTATAAATTATCTTTGATTGGCATTTATTTAAAGCAATATTATAGATACTATAATATTTTATGTATTACCCTCAGCAGCATATACCTTGCAAAAAATAGCTAAAACAAAAGTAACACGGTCACCTAATCCACTCTATGATATATACTGTACCTTGGAAGCTGATTGGAAGCTGTCACTTAACTCCAATACAGTTTAAAAAGCATTATTTCAGTCATTTTTTGCAATTTTTTCATTTTATTTTAGTTAGCAATTCATTGTAAATGTAACTATAAAATACAAGAAACAGAATATTTGCAACAGAACTGCCTAAACTGCATTAAGTATCAACACATTAATAATAGTATTAATTACAACTATTCAATGAAAGAAGAGCTTCTTCATGTGGAAAGATATGATGGATTGTTCAATCAATTGATCATCCAATAGGATACTTAAATTTTGTTTCATTTATCCAATTACACCAGTCTGACAAAAATTGATATTTTGGTATAAATTAGTATTTTTTAATGCCTTTTTTGTGCTGATTTCAGAAATTCCATTAGTTTTTTTTTTATAACACATATGGTTTTTCTCTTTAATTCTGTAGCATCATATATGAAAGGTAAGTTACAAACTGGTTACAAATATTTGTGCCTGCAATATTGTCTGGTAACACTGTATTACTTCTAAATCTGTTAACTTGATAGACTGCTTTATTTGAGTGTTTTCTTTGTTCAAGCATGATTCTATTTGATTTTGTTGCACCTTGTTTCTATAAAATGAATACCTGTAAAAGTTTAAACTGTCCAGATATGTTTTGTTACATTTGTGGAAGTTATGTAATCAGTAAGAAGATACAAAACATCACAGAATTTGTCAAAAATGTTTGTGCTTATTTTAGTGTTGGATTAGGTGATCAGGACAAACCATGGGCTCCACATAAAGTGTATTGGTTATATATGGAACAACTAAGGATGTAGAAGAATGATATAAAAAAAATCCAATGCCATTTTCCATTTAAATGGTGTTCAGGGAACCAAAGAACCACCATGATGACTGCTGCTTTTGTTTATACAATGTTCAAGGACACAGTGGTAAGAGTAAGAACATTACTTATCATAACCTAGAATGTTATCAGATCTACTCCTAATAGATATGAATTTCCTATTCCATGTCCACTTCCATAGGAAAATATTTCATCAAATAGTGAATCCAACTGTGAATTGGAAAACAGCTATGGTAATTAAGATAAGTGCATTCCAGATAGCGATTCTTAATTCACTACCTATCTTTTCACTCAAAATAAATTGAACAACCTTACTCATGACTTGAATCTAACTAAAAAATTTGCTGAGCTACTAAGGTCAAGACTTCAAAAAAAGAAAAAAGAAACATCTGTTAGCATCTAGTCTGTAGTTTTCTTGGTATTGATACTGAAAAAAATATATTATATCATTGTTTAGTGGAGGAGAAGATTCAATGGTATTTTGTTTTAACATTAATGAGCTCATGAAGTTTATGGTATAATATAAAAAGCAGGCAAATGGAGACATTTTATTGACTCATTAAAAGGAAAGCATACCTGTAGCTCACTCTGCACTTGAACGAGATCTATGAAAACTTGAAATGTCTTCAGAACAACGTAAAATATGCAAACCATGGTTGGTTGATATGTGAGAATTTTAAAGTATAAAATATATAAAAGTATATAAAAATGTCTTGCTTGCTTTGTGAATGAGGTAATAGGGCAAAGGACAAGCACTGAAGTGTCAGGATTTGGCCAAAAACAAAAGAACTACTTCATAGCTCAAAAAATATCATTCATAAACTATTGATCAAGCCAAATAATGTTGCTTTCAGTTCTCCATATTAAACTGTAGTTAATGTAGCAATTTGTAAAGTTCTCAACAAGGATGAAGAATGCTTCAAATATCTGCATTCTAAGTTTCCCAGTATATCCCAAGAAAAGCTTAAGGATGGCATTTGTCAGCCCTCAGATCTGTAAACTTATGCAAGATAATGAATATGAAGATTTGACAAACAGAAATGAGAAGAAGATATGGAAAAGCTTTAGAAATGTTACTGAAATGTTTCTAGGAAACTACAATGAGCCTAATTAAAAAGCATTTATTAAGACACTGCTTGATGACTTTAAAAAACTGGACTGCAACAGGAATGTCAAACTTCACTTTTTATATTCACATATAAAATACTTTTCAGAAAATCATGATGATCTTGTAAAGAACAAAGTGAGAAATTCCCTAAGACATTAATGAAATGGAAAAGATGTACCAAGGAAAATGGAATGCAACTATAATGGTCAACTACTGCTGGATGCTTGCAAGAGATTGCAGTCAAAAAGAAACTTTGCAGAAATCAAAGAGATGCAAATTTTACCTAGAATAACAGAAGCACTATGTTCATACAGTTGGTCATTATGTGCAATACCTAGTATGACTTGATAGGCTAAAACACCAGAATTCATAAAATATGTTATTCTAAAAATTTTGAATTTAACATTTTATATATACATTATTATTAAGAAATGTCAGTTAAGTAATAAAAAAAAATCAAATTCCAACATGTTTTGAGCCCTTAACATTTCTTTAAATATCTTATTTATTTTTTAAATCCTAATTTCAAATCTCTCACTTAAATTAAAATTATATTGTTTAAAAATTACTATATTAATTAGATATAATTTATTTAAAAATTGATGATAATTCATAATTTTCTTAAATTTAATGTTTAAGTATAGTTTTATTCTTATTTATACTTATAATTTATAAATTTAAATAAAACAAACCTCATTTATAGAATTATCACTTTGACTTTTTAAAGATTTTTGATTTTTTTTCTTTGATATTGTTTTACGAAATTTTAATTCTTGAACAGACCAATCCAAGTCCCACATCCATGGATCTTTTTTATATCTGCAAAATAATAAATTGACATGTACAAAATGGTTATTATGAAAACACACAATAGAAAATTTCAATAAGTTATAAAAATTACAATGTAAAAAAATTAAATATTTATGAACATTAATTCAATTTTGTAATAATTACAAAAATAAAATGCCTCTTGGTGCCCACAGAGTAAAAAGAATCAAAATAAAAAAGTATGCTATATAAAATTATAAATAAGTATAAGACCTTTGATTATTTAATAAATCACAATTGTCATCAGCTAAATGAATTAAAGAAAGTTTTAATTCATGTTGTAAATTATTATATGTTGTTTGAGAATCTTCAATATATCTAATCCAATTATAATTAACAGGAAGATATGCTGTTGACATTTCTAACATTGCTGCCAAAGTTACTGGATGAGGAAATCTGCAAGAAATAAAATTATAAATAATTAACATCAACAAATTTCACAAAATCACTAGAGAATAAATTAGAACAAACAACGAAAAATACTTCTTAATTCTGGAAATCAAATACAATTTATTGAGTAATTGTGACAAGAAATAAACTGTACCCTGCTCAGGTCAGGATGCTCTGACCATCTGTACCAATCTGAAATATCTGTAGTTTGCTGATATTTTATCTGTGTCCAGATTCCAAATAAATGTATTTTTACCTCATTTCAGTGGATCTCTTACCACAAATATAAGAGAATTCTATTATATAAGGTAAAGATGCCTATTATGAGATAGGCGCCAAATATGAGATACCAAGGTTTTGGCCAAACTATTATCGGCAACTATTTGGCTCTAGTGTTTTTCGAAGTGTCCTGGCAATAGCTCCAAACGTGTGTCAGTGCACGCTGGCCAGAGGTGCTGTTAGATCATGGGTGTGCAGATTTTCACAAAAGCACAAAACAAATTTTTTGACATTAAATGTTTACGAGGTATGTAACAACGTTATTATTACGCTAAATTCTTTTAATTTACATTCATTGTATCAATTATACGGTCAATTTCACGATATTAGTGCAGTACTATTGTTTTCTTTGTCAGCAAAAAAAGTAGGCAGCCGTTTTGTAAAATTTGAATGTGTTCCCAATATGAGACACATGAGGTTCCTAATATGAGATATCTCATTTCATATATGAAATGAAAGTATACGTATTAGTTTAAGTTCTTTTTTTATATATTTTAGATGGCCCCAATTAAAAGGAAAACCTGGCACCACAGTGCCATGATACGAGCCATGGATGCAGTACGGAGCAATCAAATAGGTTATTTAAAGGCATCAAAACAATTCGGTGTTCCTAAGGATACCCCAGAAAAGGCCGGATGGCCAAGAGGTCACGGTGATAGCCTACCGCTCTGGGGGACCCGGGATCGAATCTGGACGGGTCAAGACTGTCCAGAATCTGGGGTACCCCTAGTAACTCATAATAGGAGACCATTTACCTAAGATGTGATTTCGGATTTTTTTCATTTTATCTAATATAACTAAAAATGTATTATGCTTAGGACTAAATAGCAATTATATTGTTAAATATATTAAATTCCCTATTCAAAATTGTAATTTGTAAAGCTCCAAGTGTAATAGTTATTTTTTTATAGTCAAAAATAAAAATGGTATCTCATATTCAGCATCCTTACCTTATTGTAATATCAACTAGTCCATTACTGTATGTCAATATAGTGGACTAAAATCAATTATGTAATGGACAAAATTTCAGCTGTAAAGTATGTAAACCAATTTTTATTAAACTTGTAAAAACATTATTCTTATTATTTGTTTGAAATATTTTTAAGAATATTTTAAGAAAATAGTTTTTTAGCTACAACTGTAACTGTTAAATAAAACAATTTCTGTTTTAGAAAGAAACAAAACATAATTCAGGCTTGTTCTTTTGTAATATTAGAGACCACTTATTTGTTATCCATTTTTTTGCTGCATTTTTGTCTGCTGAACTTAATTCCCCAGACACAGTTACACAGGTAATAGCATTGTTTTGAAATGTAGAAAACCATCCTTTGCTTGCCTTAAAGCTGTCTAGCTGAAGTCATTCTTCAATCTTCATAGTTTTTTCATGTATCTGGGAACCATTCAATAAAATTCCTTCAACATTTGCATTTTCTATCCATTTTAAAAGCCGGTTTTCAACTTTGGAGTAAGTGTCACCTGCACCAAACTTGCATACATGAAAAAATTACTTATAATTAAAGTGTTTGTAAAACAGAGTAAAAAAAGGCTGCTACTCATGTAATTTATTTAATTTAAAATTTTACCTTATTATGTAGCCTAAACTGTATAACAGGGATACATACATACAAGAAAGACAATGGCCATACATATGGCTACAGTACCCTCTATGTTTGATGTTGGCATGCAGTTTTTACGCTGCAAGGCCATAGTCCCCCAAAGGGTCTAAAAGAAAATCCAAGTATAGCGAACACCAATAATTGAGTGCCACCACAAATAGTTAAGCGTAGAAGTTATTGCCAAGTGGCTGTTACAGTAGAGTCTCGAAAACTCGGTACTCGATAACATGGCAGTCCGGATAACTCGGCCACACCCTGGCAGGGCAAAAAAATCCTTAGTTAATTAATTTTCATTATAGACAGCTTTATGCCTCAAAGTATTTTTCTGAGGTCTGTCTTATCAGGTAAATTACTGTACACAGTGTATTCATTAATTTTCATTTTCATATAGTAAGGGCTCTATGCCTTCATAAAGGACATACTTTTCCTTTGTTTAAGGTTATTTGGGCAGTTTATTCTCTGTTGTATTCTCAAGTAAACAATACATACAAGTACAGTACAGTATTTTCTGAGGAAACACTCATACTTATTTTTTTTAACCCCATTCCCGACAACCCAGCATTTTCACAAACTCGGCCACCCTTCGGTCCACATTAGGCCAAGTTTTCAAGACTCTACTGTATTAGGAAGACTTATATCTACTTAATACTAATAAAACTGAATGCAATTGCAAATCTTAATACTACTTAACAGCTAGACAGACAGTGTGAAAAGCAAACGAAAGCATTGACAAACTAGACAAGACTAACAGACCAACAGAAACAAACAAGCAAGACCCCAAAATTTTGTTTATTTATTTTTTTAAACGTTAACTAGTTTAGTTTTTTAAACGTTAACGCTAGTTTAGTTAGTGAGTAAGTTAACTCACTAACTAAACTAGCCTACCATAACCTAGGATGAACCTAACCAGACAACTAAAGCTAACAAACCCTAATCTAATTTAACCAAACCTGTCATAACCTAATGGAAACCAAGCTAAGCGTCCCTAATCTAACTTACAACTAGGACTAACCAAATTTAGACTGAAAAAGAAAACAGAAAATAAGAATTAAAATACAAAGTTGAAAGGCAGCTATATACCGACAGTTGAAACAAAGCAAGGAAAAGCTAATTGCCATCCATGCCCCCGGAGTGAGTGCTCTCAAGAGCTCCACTAAGGGATATGAATGCGAGTAGATGATGGGACATTGTACACGTGTGAATGAGTTGGTGCAGGTGGCAAGGCCAGTTGTACCCTTCAAGAAATGCAGCTCTCATTAAACTATCCCTGATTGTACCTACTGCAGCGAAAAACTAAGTGAAGTGGTGTTTGGTCCTGAATACCACAATCACATTGTGGATTGTCCCCAAGGTTAAGTTAACCCTTTAGTTCCTCGCCCGAGTTAACTCAGGCAGGTTACATAGCGTTACAGAAAACTTGGTCCTTTCGCCCCTAAAAAAAATTTTTTTCCTTCAATTTTTGGATGTTTTTTAGGTCTCCAATTTTTTTCAAAAATTTTTACCTGCGCGAAAAAATTTTATTGTGATTTTAATCTACCTTTAATGACGCATGATTAACAATTAATTGTTTTTTAATGGGAGTTTGATATCAAATTTCATTCATTGTTCTAAAGTTCTAGTGCATGGATTTTCCTTCGGTAAAGTTATTTAAAGCTACTTTCTGATATCAAAAACAACCTCCAATAGTTTTTTAATTTTTTTAATTAATATATTTTATTATATATACGTTTAATTAAGTCGGGGGATCGGAAATCGCAATAAAAAACGTAATTTTTTAAAAATATTTTAAAATATACGGCCAGCTAGTATTCACCCTACTATAAACCCTTTGCCTCCCGAAACTTCTATGAGAATGTCCTGGGAAATCCAACACCAGCTGTTCTCAAGGTCATCCACCTGTAAACACAATGACTCATCAGTGTCAGATTTCACAGAAAGGCGAGACAATGGAAAATAAAGTTTGAAACTTTTTCTTCAAAATTAACACATTTCTTTCATTTTTTCTCAGTTTTAAGTATTTTTTATGTTTAATTACATTAATATTAAAATTGGTGGGAACTGAAGCAATTAAATCTGTGCAAGTATTGCTTAAAGTTGCCGTAAGTAGCTGAGTGAGGGAGTAACTAGGGTAAAAGTGGCAAAGAATCACAGTAGTGTCAACCATGGGTGTAAAAGTGTAGGTGATCTTACCAGTGATGTCATGGTCCCAGCTGTCTTGCCAGAGAATGAAGATTTGTTTCTTGACATGATTGTTGATGTACGAGGTAGGAATGTAAATGAAAGTACTAGTGACTGAAGACTTTGCAGCTTGTTTTTTGGCAAGATTGTCAGCACCTCTTGTTACCGAGAACCCCCGCATGTCCCAGGACCCATTGGAAATCTATTCTAATGTTGTTGTCTAAGTGTCTGAGAATGTGGTGTATGAGATGGACGAGTTTTAAGCAGCTATCAGACTTTGCAATCCTGCGTAAAGCTACCCTACTGTCAGAATAAATGCAATAGTGTTAGTAGTGTCTTTTGTCTTTCCTACACCTTATGTGAATTAAGCTCATGTAAATAGCTAAAGTTTCCACCTGTGCTATTGAGCAGTGTGTACCTAAACAGAAGCAAGTGTTGTGATGCTCACAGCCTAAGTCAGAGTAAACTACAAAAGTAGCACCCATATCATCACCCATCTTGGAACCGTCAGTGTAAATCCTAAACATGGGATGATCACCTGGATCTTCGAAGTAAATGTCAGAGGCAAGCTGATGGGAAGAGTGGTAATCATAAGTCGGGAGGGTATTTTTGTTGATGATTGATGATATCAAAAAATTCAGCAAAGTCAAACTGGTGGTAATCTTACCTACTCTAATCATTTTGTCAACATCCAAGTTGCTATAATCTCACCAGGGTAAGGTGACAAGATTTTCCCGCCAAATAATGCATTTAATTTCTAAGTCGATAGGGGTCAATCCTGACATTACCAAAAGGGCACTAGTGGGTGCAGTCCTATAAGCCTTCCAAATGCAAAGAGCTGCAATCCTTTGAACAGATAACAGTTTTTGATGGTTATGGACTTTGGCAGCCATGTGGCCCCAACCTGTATGGCATAGAGGAGTATTGGCTGAATTGCACCCCTGTTAATGAGCTTATTATCATTGGGGCCAAGGCCCCATATGTTCCTAGCAATACTAATGAGGGCATTGGCCATCTTTTTAGCTTTGTCCATAATGTATTTGATATGGGATGTGAAGTTAAGTCTCTTATCAAAAATAACACCTAAATATTTAATTTCCATTGTTTACTTCATTCTGTGAGTACCTATTCGAAGGGTAAGCTTTCTGACGAGTGGCACATTCCTACCAACTATCATGCTTTCACATTTGTCTGTGTTAATGGGTTGGCTATGCTTAATACTCCACTGGTGAATGTTATTGAGAATGTTGTTGCATATGTCCTGTAAGCGTTCACTGTTGCTGTGTGAAGCTAGAATAATTGTGTTGTCCACATAGCCCTGTATGAGAGAGCCAGGAGGCAGTGTGTCGTTTAAGTGCAAAATAGAGTTTAGGCTATGTTTCAAAGACCAGAACCAGACCTGGACCCCTGAGGACAGCCTCAAGTGATGGGTATGACTAGGTTATTTTGTGTTGTATAAAAACCTGCACTCCTGTCACTAAGATAGGACTGAAGAAGTTTGTAAAGATTTTGAGAGCAGTGATGAGTATGTAATGTGAGCAGGATAAAAGGCCACCAGACATAATCGAAGGCACCTCTAAAGTCAATAATGATAATTGAGGTATGCTGATGGTTTTGTTTAGCCTGGTGAATGTAGTTAACGACCTGATGGATGGCATCTACTGTACCTTTGTTTTTAAAGAAGCCAAATTGATTCTGATGCAGGGCTTTACACTTGCTTAGATGCCATGTGATCCTATTAATCATTAGACCATCTAACACTTTTTCCAGAATTGGGAGAAGGCAGATCAGCCTGTGTTTTTTGTAAGTGTTTACACTGGTGGGTTTGGGAATGAATTTGACACTAGCCTTTTTCCACTGAGTAGGAAAAAGGCCAGTGTTCAAGCAGATACTGAAGAAAATTACAAACGCTGTAAGATTGGCATCAAATGCATGTTTTATCCTAGTGGTTATGCTGTCAAGACATGGGGCTTTGTTATCAATGAATGAACAGATGGCATTCGAAACCTTGATATAGGTGAAGTTGTGGTCATTGTCTGTATTAGGTGGAGTGAGTGTAGAATATAACAGGGATAGTATAAAACTTTCTATTTTACTTTTTTGGTGTTCTATCAAAAAGCTTTAGAACTGTTGTATTTAACATGCATGTTGACTGCCAAATTAACAAATAGAAACTGTCACTTACAAGTTAACTCATAGGTGACAGTTTCTATTAGGACCCCTATTACAAGTAGAAAAGCAATCTAATTTACAGCATGCTATACTATCATACTTGTAAAATATAAATATAAGTTTTAAACGGTTGGCATTTATAAGAATAATTAAAAATAATTCTAGCCTTACAGAATAGAAAAATTAATTTTGAAAAAAATAAAAATTAGTGTTGCAACGAATAGTATATTCGGCCAAACTATTAGGCTTGATTAACGCATGTACGAAAATTGGCATGCAAACCACATTATGGCAAGGACTCTGCTCTCTATTGGCCCACTATCACTACGCTTCGTCAATTGCGTTAATTATTGACAGTTCAGACAAGAGTGTCATGGCAGTATGTGATAAGTGATGATATCAAATGTGGATAACAATGAAATGACCTAACATGTAAATAACGGAAAAAGAACAGAGAAGGACCACAAAGTGAAAATGTGAAAATAAATATGAAATTGAGTTTATAACATAATCGACTTGTTTGATTATGCTCAATAAGCTGCCTTGAACAAGTTGAGGCAGCTTATTGGCGCGAAATTTGCGGCCGTGAATGCCAAACAATTGTTGTCATAGACTTCGGAAAGCTAAATGCTTGTAATGAAAGTCACTTAGTGTTCACGGGCGAAAGCCTGGGGTCATTCAGGCTACCAAGCTGTTTCGAATCTGTGAAATCATAACTGTTACTTATACCAACATGCTATCTGTCTCTTTTCTCCATTATCACCAGGCTATGAGTCACGTAATTGTAAAATGGGAAATCTATGGCGGAAAAATGACGAATTGAAAGTATCGTGAGGGCGTATTATGATGTATGCATAGGCATATGTGGACTAGAGCGATAGAGGAAAGAGAAAGGAAAGAGCAAAGACGAGCGCTTAAAAAGATAGGTAGGCAGGGTCAGACCCTCAGATGTGCGACGATTCTCAAATGAATAGGTGTGTACGTGTGCTGATCTTTGTAATTATAAATTGTGAATACAAGTGACTAATACTATGTTCTTTTTTTATTTTGTGCATGTTATAAGTTATAAATATATATAAACAAACAACATTAACCCAATAACATTAAATCTAAATACCAAAATGATTAATTTACTGTGTTTTTGTTATTTCTTACTCCTGTTTTTAGGTATTTGGTATTCGGCCGAATAGTGATTACATATTCGGTCAAATAGCGAAAAATAGGCCGAATACTGAATAGTAACAGAATATTCATTACATCACTAATAAAAATTAAATCAATTCACAATAAAATAGACAATACAAGTATACAAAATCAGGATGGCATCATGAGAGCAGTTTAGTTGTAACAAGTTGGCAATCAACAAGTTAAGAAAAGCTTGTTGTAGTTTTTCTATTGATTCAAATCATGACTATGATAAAATATATAGTGACTATATAGTCTGGTATAACAGAAGGTCAGTGATCTGCAGGACCTGAAAAATAGTCCATAGCAGCAGGAATTCACTACAGCAAATGAGTTTTCTTATAATTTTCATGATGAATATCAGCTGTCCATAATGACATGAAGTCCATTATATTGGGTTTCATAATATCAAGCTTTTACAGTATTACTCAAAAAACTATTTTATTTCCACAGTTAAGCAGCTTTCCAATTACTTGTTCTAATAAATTGTATGAAATAGCATTTATTTTAAGGATAGAAAAACTAAATAATATTTTAGCAGATTTACCTTGAATAAAATATAGGAAGCAACTTCTGCAAAATTTTATGGGTAGCAAAAACATCATTTGCACAATATGAAACTAATTCCTGTAGTAAAATAAATACATATAAAAATAAATAAAAAAGGGAAAAAAAGAAACCTGTGGATATCTAAGAAATCATCACACTATTTAACTTACTAACTTTTAAAATATTAATTATAAAACTTAATTCAATCAAATAGTGAAATATTATGTAGTTAATACTATTAACAATTAAAACATTTTTATAAGTATAATATATGCACCAATTGAAGGATTTGTTCATGTAATAAGGAAAAAATTTTAATCACTAAATATATTTTAAGATTCTAATAATGTATAATTAAAACTTATCTAAATATAATTTCTTGAGTATTTATTCAATTATTAGAATAAAAGGTGATAATAAAAGTCTTCCCCCAGTCAATAATTTCAAAAATCAATTGAACAATCACTGCAGATCTCTTGCTGATATATACTGTCATGCATGTGCTAAATTATGGTTTGAATTTCTCTCCCTTCTAGTCCTTCCATTGGAAGGGGACAACAATACCTATTTTCATTAGCCCCTAATGAAAATAGGTATTGTTGATTACAAAGTTGTAGCACACAATAAATATTTATTATTGCCTTTTAGTGCATTCCAAAATATCAAGTGGGATTCCACTTGATATTTTGGTAACTGTATATGACAGGTAACTGCTTTACTACACAACACACAACAGGTGGCAGTGCATCACTGCACAACCAAATGCAATGAGAGTGACAGTCACATTAAACAGCAAAAAAATTCATTGCAATTGCATGAAATAAACTTTCATTTTTATGTTTAATTTTGTTACTCATTTATGTGTAGTTTGTAAAGTAGCCCATCATTATATTGTAGATTCAAATATATCATGCAATTTTTCCCCCAAATTTTAAAAGTGTTTGAATTAATAAATTTTAAACTATCAATTGCCATTGAATTTCTACTTGCAATGAAATATGGTATTTTATTCCTATCTCTACAGGCAAAATAAGCAATAAAAATCCAAAATCAAAGCTGGAATAGATAACTTGTAAAATCAAAACCAGTCACACTTTTCCATAAATGGGTTTAATCAATGAATATACAAACATTTTTGGCTTATTTTTATAACTTTGCCTAAGGTTTTAAACTACAAAATTCCAAAATTCTCTACAAAAGGTAATTTCAAAATTTTCTAGTTTAAAGTAATGAAGAAGAAACACAGTCATCCACTGTTGTCAATATGAAAGAAGCTGTAGAAATGTTGAAGAGAGCCGGCACTGTTTATGCACAGTGCCGGCTCTCTTCAACATTTCTACAACTCAGATTACATAACTGAAATAAAATTAGTGCATTTTCGTGTTTTACTTTCAAATGGAAGGCAAACAATGAAAGAAAAAAGGAAAACAATCAACTTTAGATTCCATTTCTACTCAAAATCTTTCAATTTTTTCACATAGAGTATAAATATACTGCATTGTACATGAACACAGTATTTTTTTGAAAATTACAAGTACCTTACTGTAATAAAGTTTATTTCTATACTCTATTTTTAAAAAAAATCTGTTTTATGTTTCCTTTCAATATCAAGTTATTGACAAGACTATGTCTTGTTTATAAAATTGTACTGCCCGATTTTCTTACCAGCATAGAAGTATGAAGGAGAACATGTCGAGAGTTGATATTTGGTACAGAGTATTAAGTGCCCAAATCATTTGCGCATAAAAAAATCCAGACTCGTAGGTAGTCAGGGGACTGAGAATCGAGTCAAAATAAAATACAAAATGGCGACCCTCTTCTACAAACAGGCAAAACTCCCCACCAAAGGTAGGTAGGGGAGAGTACCATCCACAGTCTTTCTAAGAAGTGAACTCTGACCTTAGAATTGAACACATAGTTTCTTCTATATTAAATAAAATTTGTAATCTAATTTTGTAAATTTGGGAGTGCTTCAAATATGATGTTAAAACGGTTTTATGTCTTTACAAGTGGGTTTTTTTTTAACATTATCTAGTATAGTAAAATTGTAGGACTGATAAAAATTTGACATTATATTAGGGTTGTCATTACATTTGATGACATTATAATCAAGTTAAACTGTATATTGCTTGTGCAAAATAAAAAAATAATTTCAGATGATACAATAGCCACAATTATTTTTTTCAAAAATGGGAACTTTTCGTTACACATCAANAAAAGTTATACAGTAGAGCATCGATTATCCGAAAGTAAAATTGTAGGACCGATAAAAATTTGACATTATATTAGGGTTGTCATTACATTTGATGACATTATAATCAAGTTAAACTGTGTATATTGCTTGTGCAAAATAAAAAAATAATTTCAGATGATACAATAGCCACAATTATTTTTTTCAAAAATGGGAACTTTTCGTTACACATCAACAAAAATTCAACCTGGGCCGACACACAACGGAGAGAAATTTTGAAATTAGATAGGTCAATTTCATTGAAAATGTATCATGGCTGGCAAAGTTTGAACGATCATGCCCAAAAGCAGCGATATCAAAGAAGATAGGAGAATGAGAACGAGACCTGCCTTGAGCATCAAAGTGATTCTGTCTCTCAGACATACTCTTGTCCCAAATACAGTTTTGCCATTTTACATGTTTATTTGTTGTTTTTAAGAACCATATCCTCATTTACAAGTTTCTGTGAATTCATATTAATATTGTCTATCGGCATTATTATTTTACTTGAAATATTACTACAAGTACCCTCAACAAATTACAGATTGTCTTCTTCAAGCATAGAATAATGGAATCTTAATGGAACCTTACAATTTAAAATATACATTATGTACCAAACAGCAAATTTAAAATGTATTTCATAGGGTGCATCAATACAAGTCTCATTTCATTCTAATTTCATTCTTCAAGCAAAATAGATTTTATCAAATTTTTCAATTTTAAAAAGTTAAGAGTAAACCATTTATTTTAATTAAAGGTAAATATTTGAAAAGAATAAACTCTTTACCATGTTTTGCCAAAGCAATTAAAAAACCAATGAATTGTTATTCTTATTAACACACTAGCTTACCTGTCGCGCATTGCTGCGATCTCAGAAGAAACAAAATTCAAGCAAACTCATTATAATAAAATTCAATTTACATTTTATCATTTTTATTGAAACTTATTATTATTATTGATTTTCATCGGAAAACATTTCAAAGTGTTGTTTCAATTCTATTTATTTATTGGAGTGCTTGTGGGTACACGATATTTTTTGTTTTTCATCTGGTGTGTACACGAATAAATCAGAAGGTTTTCCGACGCATGAGCTGGCCACATACAGTTGTCCATGTGAGAAGCACGGATCCTCCAAATCTAGCCCACACACTTGCAGCGATTGTCAGAAGTGCGATATTTCCCATTTTTATATATTTTTTTTAATCCTTTACAATTTTAATTATTTAACTGCTTCTTCCTCTCTTCCTTGGCATGTTGTGAAATTTCTGATAGTTGGATAATAAACCATTTTATTGTAATTTGTCTTTTTAAATTATTTTGAGTTGATATTAAAATTTGGAAAAGGGGGATCCCTAGATCGGTAAAATAGGTGAATTTCCTTCTATAACTTTGGTTGTTGTTCAGGATACAGTTAAGGTTTTAACAAAGTTCGAGCGAATATATAATTAGCAGAAAATAGTTGAAATAAAGTAACTAAACAAAAATTATTACAAATATCATAAATAACAGTTCACAAATGCATATATAGAGATATTTTTTGGAGGGGGAAATGGTCTTCACAATTTAAAATCGATTAAACTCAAATGAAATGCTCATATACACTCACGCCATCTATCATAGGATAAATGTACTATGGCAGAAACCTTCATGGGAGTGTATTAAACAACTTCCCAAAGTTTCATGGCAATCGGATAAACGGTGTGATAATGCATGAAGGACATACAGACAGACAGACATACATACATTCATTTATTTTTATATATATAGATTAGACAATGTTCTAGAAACAGTTAAATTTTTATAATTCTTCCTGAAAACATCTGAATTGTAATTCACAGATTTCTTAAATATAAATTATAATTAATATTAAATTTAGAAAAATACCTGAAAATTTTCTCTGATATCATTCAAAGTGCCAGTAATGAAAATATCTTTAGGATCTTTATTAATTTGCTCTCCTTCATTATATAAAGAATAGACATCAGCCAAATTATTTAATGAACTGATATCTAACCACATCTGTATGGGATTATAAATAAATAAAATTAAGAAAATAAAATTTTAATAATAATAGTTTATTGTTAAAATAACATGTACTATACCTTATATTTCAGTAATTATACTTACCAAAGGAGATAAATCATTTTCTGAATTATCTTTTTTCTTAGATTTGTAAGCCATTGACATAGCTCTCTGAGTAGATGTTAATCCAGAAACACACATATGCAGTGATAATGTATCTAAAAATCTTAATTTTGTACCCTGAAAAATATTTTTAATTTTATTAAAAATAGATAATCATTTGTTACTTTATAATATTGTAAAAAGTATTTATAAATTTTCAAAAACATTACTGTTATGCTTTATTAAAAAAAATATTTATTTTATTACAACAATAATTCATATTTATTGTATCCAAGTGATTTCAACTCAAACAATCCATCTTCACAGACTCTTTATACAATATAAAACCAAATGTATTAAATTGCTGGAATAAATTAAGCAGACAAAAGACAATTTAAATTAATTTTTGCAAATGATTCTGCTGTTATCAAAACTAAAACTGATAAAAAGCATCACTTGACAGCTCAAAATTATTGTTCGTTGGCAGAAAATAAATAAAAGTCAAAATTTGGTGTATTAAGACTTTACTTAAGACCTACTTTTTTATCTACTTTTATGTAATTTTTAATTTTTTAAAATTTGAAATAATAATGTGTATTAATTTTTAAATATACTGATATAAAATATATGATGTTCATACATTCAAATAATTTTTTGAATAAATGTTCTAAAATTTAATAGTTCAAATACTTGAACTTGATAATGGCTAATTAAAGATTCAGTTTCTCAAGTTAATTTCATATAGTTGTTTACATTCATTCTAAATTCTTAAATTGAAAAATCTTCAAATAATAAACAAGAAATACTACCATTTCATTTTTTAGACAATTATATTATATATTTTTAAATAATTCTAAAATTAAAATAAATTTTCAAACATTACACATTACTTTAGCTTTTAGTATTCTAAGACAGCATTTCTCAACATTTGTAAGCCCAAGGACCAGTAAAATGTCTGAAAAATTCTATAGACCACTAAGTTTTGTACACTTAATTTTTTTTTTAAATCTATGTGGGTATTACCAACATTTGGGATATACTGTACCATTTATAACGTAATAAATTCAAAAAAAATATTTTGAACACATATGGAAACATAATTAATTAAATTGGAAGTAAATTATTAAAAGTGAATCAGCATTGAACAAAGCTTTAATTTAAGTTTACTTGCAGTCCACCTACCCTATCATTGTAGACCACAGGTTAAGAAATACTCCTCTAAGATATTTCACTATATAATCAATCTGTCTTCTTAACTCCAAAGTTGATTGTACATACAGGTAATACAAAGCTGATTGTACATGCAAAAAATTGCCATGTTATGCGAATCCGTGTTATACAAAACAAAGAACTAGTACGAAAAGGGGGGTTAGGTTCCAAAAATTAATAAACATGCTATTATATTTTTATAATTAAGATAAATATCTTTATTAAAATTTTCTTAAGTGATACATATTAATATAAATTAAACAATGTTTTCTTCGTTATCACTAAGCACTATTAACCAAGGATGTTTTCTTTTTTGGCAAGATATCCTTATCCTCTGAGCATTTTTCTGCATTATCTTCAGATCCATGCATTTTGCAAAAAATATGCTATTTTAGATTGCTTGCTTTTAGTTAAAAGATCTTTATAAATTTCCTTATATGGTGTTAAGGACTTATGAAGAATAAAGCAAGTATGGAATAAGGGAAAACATCTGGCAACACTGAAACAAGTTTTGAGAAGGATCATGTGTATCAACAGAAGGCAGGAAAAGAAAATTTACATACTTCAGTACTAATAGTTCATGAAAATAATAAATTTTCATGAACTATTAGTATTTAAGTATGCGAAAATTTATTATATTTCATGTTGTACCCAATTCTCAAACCATGTTAGAGTGAATCTGTGCTATTGAAGTGCTGTGTTATACGGGGTTACCTGTACATTAATTCAATATTTAGAAATAACATAAAATTATAGAATTTTGCTAAATTAAGATGTTTTCTAAATAGAAATCTTCTCAATATTTTCAAATTGTATTTATCTATTTTTCTATGATCAATTACAATTATTCAGATTTTATATAATCTTAAACAAACACAACTTTTCTGATTTCAAGAATATTTTTAATATCTAAATTATATGAGTGATCAAATGAGAACAGAATTTGTGAGAAGTAGAATGAAAAGTTAGATAATGCCATAAATTGACAGCATCTAACTTTCACATATCACTGATGAATGCATCATTATCTTGTTATTGTTATTTAAATCAAGTACTGAGTATTAAGTACAAATATTTTTTATTAATTAATTTAGTTAGAGTTTTAAATGTTATCATCAAGTCTATAGTAAGTAAATGCTCAATATTTCATTACTTTTTGCAACAGAGCAGGACAGTAACAAGCATGGCCACCTCATAATGTCATGAAATCTCATTCATGGTATTGCCAAATATACCCAATATTATCATAATACTTCTTTTAATTTACATTTTCACTTTATAATTTGATAATCTTATTCTGCTAATTAGAAGAGACTATTATAATGTTAAAAAATTTCTATTGTTTATAAAGACAATTATTTTATGTACAACTATAAATGTTTACTAAGATTATTTTAATTTATTTCTTTTTAAATTAAAATTTTTACACAAACCTGAACGAAATATTGCTCTTTTACAAAAGCTCGATCAAACATTACATTATGACCAATTACTATTTTTTCTGACCAATCTTTTTTTCCTGATGCTTTAACATTTCCTTGTATTTCTAATGGTATGAGATCAGCCAAAGTAATGCCTTTTGACCAAGAAAACTGCTCATTAACAAGTCTTTCACTACACCAACAATACCTAAATAAAATAGTAATTAATACTTAAATTGATTTTTAACAACTATTTTATATTTAATCAACACAAAATTATAATTTCAGTTATTATAAATATCTACAGTTAATATTGTTAACTCTCTGAATAACACAAAAACACCAAGAAATCAGTAATAAAAAACAAAAATATTTTATGCTATGAACATTGTCAGGTTTTCTCAAATATAAATTGACAGAACACATTTTTTAAAATTGAATCAAATAGGTTCAAAATTCAAAAAATTTTAAAATAGACATGTCTGAAACAAAGAAAGTTCTACATCAGTTCAACCAATACACACCAAACTGTAGAGATTTTATCATAATGATTTGATCATAATGATGAATGATTTTATTATTTCTAGTTTTTAAACATTTTATTTCATGTAATCCAGAATTAATGTTTCATTTCTATTGTGACCTTTCGGGTCGGCACCTCTTTAGTACCCTGTCAGGACTGACACCACAGTGTTTATCGGAACACAGAAGCCAAGACGGCAATTACTACATCACACTGTTGTGCGAGCAGTCCCGTAAATGGACAGACAGATTCGTAATGCCAGCCGATTGAGAGACAGCATGTGGAAGAGACTTGAACTACAATTAACACTTAACAAGGATTTAATTAAAAATAAATTAGATAAGATACAGAGGTTCTAAAGTTTTGTCGCGGAGAGAGAGAGTTCACATAAGGTTCGCATGGTGATAAATACCTATGGTAATAGCTATCCCAATCAAAGTCGCATCAAATCGGAGAACCAGGTAATAGTTCTTCTTATAGGCTTTTTCAGGATTTGTCCAAGAGTGAAATATCCAGTCAAAATGTCCCGTTGAAATATCCAGGCTCTATCGTGCACTAACACAAAAAAAAATGATTGTTGATAAAGGTTATCCTATGGAATGGGCTACGACTTCTTTCCTCTCTGAGGACTAAAACAGCGAATGACTCTTTTCGGCCGTCTCTGGCGATATTCACGGACAAATTCAACCGTGCAGAGGTTAAAAGATCACAAGAAAGAGTCATGTTGCCTTCAAGAAAATGTAATGAGAAACTTACTCAGGTAGCTACAAACAACAATTGTTATGTAACTCGAACAATATTAATATTAAAGTCTAGTTCAAATATAGGAATTTCTGCTACCTCACATTATCTTCATGCACTTCAAAACATTCTCACTTTCATATTGTTTTTGAATTTCATCCAGCATATTAATAAGGATCCCAACACTTGCGGGAGCGCAAGTGTGCGCGAATTTTTTCTACAACGCTTTTCTCTCGTTGGTGAGTTGGTTTCTCTTCTATTTTTAAGTTTCTAAGGTGAATGGTGAGGAAATCTTCGTCCTAACAAAACATAAGCCCCAAACAAAAATATAATAAAAAGCAAAATAAAAGTAAATAAAAATAATGCTCGGACTTGGTTCCTTACATCCTCATTTATATATATAAATGAATTATTTTACTTTTAAATCACATTTGCAGCACATGTGGTCATTTAGAAGAGTGTATTTTGCACTGTGCTACTGCTGTAAGAGGGTGATAAAGATTTCCTTTTCAAAGGAAATCAAATTGATCATATGGCCAAAAAATTTACTTAGAGAAAACTGATCATATTAGAAGATAGATCTTTGATAGGGGGAGTGTCATTTTTAGAAGTTTTACTATATTAAGGTTGAATTAAAATTAAAGTTGTTGCTTATTGTTAACTTCTCAAAAACACAAAAAAAGTTAGCTTTCATTTTATTTTTGATAAAATAATTTTATTGCATTTATATCAATATTAACTTAGCTTTTACCATCAGCAAATTCAAATATTTCACATTATTAAAACTCTATTATTAAAAAGTTTCATGTCAAAAATCAATAATAAAAATTATTATTATAACCATTGCATACAATAATTAGCAATTATTATACATATATATAATGACTAATTTACTATAAATAAAATATAATTAAACTAAATTTCTAATTTCTAAATTTATAAGGCTGCTAATTTAATTAATTAAATATATTATATAATTTGTCTAAAGGTATGACTTTATTTACTGTAGGCCTGGAAACAAAGATCAGACAAAGAGGAAACACATCTTTTGAGTTTGTGTTTGAGCTTGAACCTGCATCTTCTGCATACCATTCTGAGTTGATTTTTCCTTTCAGATTATTGTAAATTATTTAATTTATTTAAATTTAATTTTTAATTATTAATATTGATACAAGTTGATAATTAACTGCCTATCTTTAGGCAAGTTACACAGTTAATTAAATTAGAAGCTCAAATGAGATCATAAATCTGGCACTTAGATATCTGATTTAATTTTAATAAATTGTACTAGGTCAATGGTTCTCAAACTTTTTTAAAGTGATGCCCACTTTTTTGGTAAAAAACCTTTGTCTCCTACACATTTTGTAAAAACATACTGACCCATAATTTTCTTAGGATGTATTTTATTCTAGATATTCTTAGAAGATTTTTACACAATTATATTTTGAACAAAACAAAATTAAAATAACACACAGAGATAGCACTAAATAAAATCAAATTTTGATAATGAAATTATCATGTTGTAGTCATAATCATAATGGTAACTTTTTCAAGCTTCTATAAAAAGTCTCCTGCACCCAGATAGAGAACAATTGAACTAAATGATTGTTTACATATAATTTCATTCTACTGAATATTAAAAAAAAATTTTTTTACCAAGCTTCATTCGAAACTGCAGTTGCTAATGTTGGATATGGTGCATCTTTCAAACAAATTTCAACATCAAATACAAGAGCTGATTCCAGAGGATAATCAACAGATTCTACTTTGCCATTTGAATATCTGACCCATCCTTTTATAAATTCCCATTTTTGGGGTTTTTCTGGAAGCTCAGCATGTATTAGAATTTCTAGAAGTTTCCTATATTCAGATGAAAATCTATTCCCAAGATATTGAAAATGTTCATCAATATTGTTTCCAAATAATTTAGGCAGTTTCCATTCTATATCTGGAAGAACGGATGTTTCCTAAAAAATAAAAATAATGAAAAACTTGAACATGGAATAATAATTTGAAAGAAAAAGTTATACAGTAGAGCATCGATTATCCGAAACAATCGGGACTGGGGTTGTTCGGATAACTGATCATTTACAAAAAATATATTAAACACAAAACTGTACTGTATGTAATTTGTATCACACATCTTACAAATACATACCTTACATAATGTAATACATTAAACTAGGCCTACAGTTCAGTTTGGCAGGGAAAGGAAGAGTGCTGCAATGCCATAGTCCTAGAGGAAATTTGAATTTGCCAACTGGAACACTTTCAGTTAACTGATGTTTTGGTTGATTGGTATGTGGATAATTGATGTTCTACTGTATAACTATTTGTATTTTTATTAAATAAACAAAATAATAATAAAAATAAATAATAACTGATGATCATTCACTATTCATTACACCATATATTGACATTGACAGACTATATCTGCCCAGGGAAACTGAGTGAAGAGACAATCTGTGAAAGAAGAAAATGTGCATTGTCTGTGAAAATCAGTATTTATGAAAACCTCAAAATTAAAGTCCAGTGACTCTGGCATACACTTGCAACTGTGGTTCTAGTGATAATAACAAATTAGATGCCATCCTAAAAAGCCTTGGAGAGACACTTACAACAGATAAACATTGATAAAATCTCCAACTGTCAATTACAAAAACCATGTTGCTTGGATCTGTGCACATACTCCACCAATACATAACGTAATCCTAGGTTCTTAGGAAAAACTCAAAATGTCATAAAGTCCAACTCCAACCAGTGATGATACACTATTGTTTTGTTGTGTATCATAACAATAATAATAATAATAAACCTCTTTCTTTACTTCATAACTGGGTGCATAGGTAGACACTGGGCATCTTTTAACATCACTCTTTATTCAGATCTCATACACCGATATGTGTTTCAGGCATATGCCCCTCTTCCGTCATCTTTTTCTTTAAGACATTTGGTAAAGAGGTGCTAACTAATAAACATATTTTAAAAATATACATATTTACACTTAAAATTTCCCAACAGTACACTGAAGTGTGTTCAGTACACTAAAAAGTTAAATTTAAAAACTCACGCCAAGCTTTGTATAGTTTCTGGATACAAATTCACTGAGTTCAGCATTAATAAAGTTCCTTTAGTATTAACACAAGCACTTTCGACGAGTGTATAACCATCGTCTTCAGGTGAAAAGAACAAATTTTAATGAAACAAACGTTCTTTTCACCTGAAGACAATGGTTATACACTCGTCGAAAGTGCTTGTGTTAATACTAAAGGAACTTTATTAATGCTGAACTCAGTGAATTTGTATCCAGAAACTGTTCAGTACACTGTCTGAATATATGTATTTTTAACCTACTCCCTGGTATTCCCGACATATCTCAGGTTGCAACCTAATGACCTTAACCTGTGGACCCGAGATATCTTGTTTCAGCATTGGAACATTTTTGAAACTAAATGTTGCTAGTTGTTATAATTTTTATATTAAAACTAACTTCCAAAATATAATTTCAGACAATACGATTATTTTTTTAAAAAACATGTAATTTTAGTTAGTTAATTAAAATACTTTCGTACTGGAACTACACTATAAATAAAAATCAAAACCTTTAAACAATCCAGCAAATCGTTTTTTAATATCTTAAAAACACTTTCGAATGCTTTAAGCGATCATCCTCAGTTATCATTCTGAATCGAACGAAGAATTTGAAATTTCGTAAAACAAAAATTCAAAAAGAAGTTACATAAATATAAAATAAATACTGAAAAAAAAAATAAAATAAAATACTGTATTTTATTTTATTTCTTTATTTTGTTTTAATTATCTTGTATAATTTTTGCAATTATTTAAGCTTGGTAAATGTTAACGTATATTTATATAACCACTTTTTGAATTTTTGTTTTACGAAATTTCGAATTCTTCGTTTGATTCAGAATGATAACTGAGGATGATCGCTTAAAGTGTTCAAAAGCGTTTTTAAGATATCAAAAAACGATTTGCTGGATTGTTTAAAGGTTTTGATTTTTATTTATTTTTGTTAGGTTTAACATCAACAAAAATTCAACATGGTGTGACACCAACAGAGAAAAATTTCAACATGGGATAGGTTAAAAAGGATGTGTGTTAGTTAGCACCTCTTTACCAAATGCCTTAAAGAAAAGGCCAACAGAAGAGGGGAGTATGCCTGAAATGCGTTTCAGTGTGTAAGATATTCCTGAATAAAGAGTTATGTTAAAGATGCCAGTGTCTACCTATACACCCAGTTGTGAAGTAAAAAAGAATTAAAAGAAAACACAGTTTTGGAATAAGTCAATAATAAACCTCTCACAAGTCAGTACATCATCAAGGTGAAAGTGTTTAGTAGTTTGAACAAACTATAGAGTAATGCTTGAAGGAGCATACATTTCCAGTAAGACCACCCAGATCAGTAAGGTCTATCTATGGATAGAAATAAAGCAAAGAGTGACCCACAAGCAACATCTGACCCATAGTAGGTGACTTGTTAGTATCATCTGTTCTCCATGGGTGCATTTACTTTTAGCTCTGATCTCGCCTCTAGCGCGCTCAGCCTGTATACTTTTTGTTAGCTACCAATGAGCATGACGTTTACTTTTCACACTCATAATGTCATTGCTAGCATTCCTGGCATGCTCAGAAAATTTACGAGCTTGGAGTTTGTTCAAAGATGGCGGCATCCGTTACTGTGTCTACTTTTACAAGCATGCTAGTACGATGTCAGGCTGCACTAGGTGTCAGCTCGGTGAGCTTGGAAGCTAGCAAAAAGTAAACGCACCCCCATGTCAGAGAAGGCTGAGTAATAAACACCTGGCTTTAAGTATACAAGCACCCCACTTCTGTAGAGATAATAAATAAATGGTTGTTATATGTTAACAGCATGATACACATTTGCACAAATACACTATTAAAAAAAAACCTTTAAAATTCAGTATCCAAATTTTGAATGTAAAAAATTTCTGACAAATGTTTTCAACCTTACTCAAGGTCTGCCTCAGGTCTTTAAATTAATGATATTCCAAATTGGAATGTGCAGAATAACTTTTCAAAATATTAATTTTTTAAAAATTGGGACACAAACATAACAATATATAACAACAAAAAATTAGTGGTAAATATAAATTTAACACCTATATAAAATTAACACATATAAAAGTTAGGATTTATCTAATGGGATCCTGTCTGTTTTTTAACCTGCAAAATTCTTCTCATCCCAGGAAATCCCACAAATTTTTTAAAAGTTCACTTTTTTCTTATCTTGTGTTAAGTCTGAGGAAGTTTTGCAAATAGAAACTGTCAAACTGTCAGAAGACATCTGTATTTATTAATTTTAAGCCTGCTTAATTTTTTAAATTTTAGCTTTTCACAGATTGTTAATAATCAATATGTAGTATTTGTGGCAGGACTCTGAAATTGTTTTACTTGTCAGAATCTGTAATATCTAGAATAATTGCACTAATGCTGTCTTAAATTTTAACTATGCCCATTAGCTTCAATAACTGCATTATGCTGGATTGAGCAAATTGGGAAAGGATACAAACAAGTATGAAGTATGCATGTATAAAGTTTTTCTTCATAAACCTGATTATTAAAGCCAAACAAACTGCCAAATTATCGGACTATAAGCTTGATGATGCTATTAAATCAGCCAGGGTAGACAAATCAAGCATACTAGACAACAAAAGAAGTACTGCAATGCATCTTGAAAAAGAACTAGAAATCTTTGAAGCTACAGGTGAAAAAACACAACATCCATCTTCTCTTAAATGCATTAAAGACAATTCCACCCACATCAATTAAATCAAAAAGGGCATTCTCAGTAGTAGGACTTTTCATTACTAAAATAAGAACTAGATTGAGTGATCAGAGTATTGTTCATATTTGCTTTTTAAAATCTTATTTAAAAAATTTACAATAATATTTTGTATTATGTTTTAGTTAAAAAATGAAAATTACCTTCTAAGTTAGAAGTTTGATATAAGTTTAGTTTTTTCTTTAAATTTTCAATTCAATTCAAAGGCATTTTTTTTGTTGTAAGCAGTTTGCAACAACAAACTTTAATAAATTTTTTCTATTTGTAAAAATTTCTATATAATTCAAAAGTAATTTTTAATATTTTTATTTTGGAGATTGAAGGACGTATTAAATTACTTAAAAAATGAAAAATAACTATATTATTTGATTTCGAGATTTATTTTATATCTTAAAAATACTTAATTGTATCCCAGGAAACAGATCACTTTTTTCTCAAAATCCGGGGATTAAACAAAGCACTGGGAAATGAGAAACACTACACTCAACAAAGATTACTAGCCTATGAGATGTGGATTTACTGCTGAATTTTAAAAATCTCCTGGAAAGAGAAAAAAACAAATGGATGAATCTTGGAAATGCTAGGACAGGATAGAGAATTAATGACCATCATAAAGAAAAGAAAGGTTGCCTTTTTTAGGTCACCTTTACATGACAAAATCCTCCAGAAAAAAGAAGTTCTGGAAGGAAGAATAGAGAGAGAGGAAGACCAAGAATAACCTGGTTTGACATCAGAGAATGAACTTTACTGGACATTGAGGATTGTGCCAGAGAAGCACAACATAGGAAATGGTAGCATGTAATTGCAGTCAACCTCCAGAGAGGAGATGACACATGATGGATGGATGTATTAATAAGAGTACCGTCAGTCATTATCCAAGCTGAGGAATATATCTTATATATATGTAAAAATCGATACCATCAATAGATTCGTATGTTATGCAGTACGATCGTAAAACAGTAATGACTTCAATAAAGAACATAATGCCACTTTTATCTTACCTTTCCCCATAGTTGATGGTGTTTCAGATGATCGACGCTCTTTTTAATACTTTCTTGTTTGATTTGTGGTGAATTTTTGAATATTTGTGAATGGAGAGAAGGAGATAGCATTTGAATATTCAATGGATTAAATCGCGGATTCTTTTTATCTTCACTGTTATCAACTTTACAATAAAAACGTTCATATCGAAAATATATTTTTCTCAGCTTCTGATACGTTCTATTTCCAACTTTAATTCTAAACATTGAATTAATCCTGTTTTAAATAAATATTTCAATAAATTAATAACATTCCTACTGACACGGTAAATATGTATTTATTATACTGTATTTCTTAATTTTCAATATGGCGCCAATCGCTACGCCCTCTTCGGTAAGAAAACAAAATAAAATTAGAGTTAAGAAAATTGCATTATTAAAATTTTTCTTATTTATTTTTTGTCATAATTACGATTTACGCTTCAAAATTTATATTTTATATCTTTAATTTTTAATCGAAATATGACTGTTGTAGGCCTGCAGGAAGTGTCTTTATGATTTTCTTTTTTTTTTTTTGAACAGTTAATTGTGTTGAACTGATATTACACAGGTAAATAAAAATTCATGTTTGCCTTTTCTTGGTTTTCCTTCTATATAGAGTCTTTATAAAACAAAATTACATGCTTTGCATTTATAATTGTTATTTGATTGTGGGATGCCACTCAATATCAATCTGAAATCTGAAAAGCCCATCGTGGTTTTTTTTAACTCTTTCCGTCCTGTGGGCACTAAGAGGGCCTCTTTTAGCAAGCTCATTATGGGTTCGCCAGGCTCACAATGGTACGGCCGGGTGTTGAGGAACGGGACCTGACGTATCCGGACTGAGCGATATTTATATCATCAAATTGATAATTATTGAAAATATAGTGCCGATATCTGTTGCATCTGCAGAATGATTATTTCAAACTTAAAATTGATCAATAACAATCTCCAAAACAACAATATGTCGTGAGAAACTTTCTACACTTCCGATCTTGTCTATTGAACGAGATATGCTGCAGAACTGGATTTATTTTCGTAATTGATTAATTTAATGCTATTTTTTTAAAACTCTTTCCACCCTGTGGGCACTAAGAGGGCATCTTATAGCAGGCCCATTATGGGTTCGGCCAGGCCCACGATGGGACGGCCGGGTGGTGAGGGACAGGACCCGACATATCCGAACGGACCATCTCCCCCCGAAAAATTTAACGCTGCTAAAAGCAGGAAAGCGATTTTTTTAGATGAATTTTTGTACACCTATTAAATTTGCAATTCATTGTAAAATTATTGAATACATTTTTATTACTTTATTATATGTATCTTTACCGTGTTTCTATATTAATATATTATATTAATATAGAAACACGGTAACATTTTTAATATATATATTATATATATTAAAAATGTTCATATTATTTTAGTCTAAATAAATCTACCTTCTGTTTCCGTCGTTCTCGTAATGAGCCTCAAAAATAAATTTCACTTAGGCAGTAGCGTATCTAGGATTTTGAGAGTACGGGTGCTGACCCGAGGACTATATATATTGTATATAGTCTTTGGGTGCTGACATGCTGTTCGGAGAACCAAGGCACGTGTCCCCCCTGTCGTTTTTCGGAGAATGTCACTCAATTACCGTATAATTACTTTAGTTAACTAATTTTTTTCTAATTGATTTCATACGATATTCGTTATTATATTTATTTTATTTTTAAAGTAATAAAACTGATCGCTTTGTTTCAAGGGAGTGCTGCAACATTATAAGCACCTCCGTGGATACGCCCGTTCCTAGTACCTTAGAGATTCTGAGACCGCCTCCGCTTTTAAATTAATTAATGTTCACTCTGTAGACACTTATAGCGGAGAAGAATAAAAAATAAAAACACCTCCGGTACATGAAAAAATATTAAGAAGTTAAGTGTAATATAATTTATAATGATTATTAATAAATGTTTTCAGAATAAAACATTTTAAATATAATAATTACTGGTAATTAATTTTTGAAACAAAAATTTTATAATTTAATATGGAAATGGAAATATGGGTTAGATTTTTCTAAAGAATCCGCAGGAAGAATGTCGTTAAGAGGATCTGAACCACATATCGGAATCCATTTCAGATCAGACCCTGGCCAAACTTATGTTCAAATATATGCAAGTCAAAAGGATATCTCAATGCCTACAGATGGAAATGCTATACTCTCCATATAAACTGAGAAGAAGAAGAAAAAATACAGATGGAAATTAAATAATAATACTGAATATTGTTGTATGTTTTGTTCACCAGAGGGTGTTTCAGTTCCGTCTGTCTTGGTGGTGGTCAATTTTCTGTATTAGCTGCATTGGGCATGCCTTGGATCAGAAGATCCTATCTTCGAAGCGACGAAATGGGAACCTTAGGAAAATTAAAAAATGGTGTATTGGAATATATGGAAAAGCTCAAAGATCCTTATATAGTATCGAACTTTCAAAATTTCTTCGGTGTTTATAGGATCGATGTCAAGAGAAATGGCTATGATTCCAAAGGCAATAGTTCAGGAAGTCATCATTTATTAAATAAACGGAAAGTTAAAACAAAATTAAATGGCAATTTTAATATTTGCACTGAAAATTTTGAAGAAGAAGTTATCCAAAATAATAATTCATGTAATTCAGATGATGCTGAAGTATCTGACATCGAACCTGAAAGTAGGCCATATAGAATTGATAATAAATTTTGGTATTGTATCTTCAGTATTAGTGCCAGCCTTGGTTATGAGAAATTTTATTGGGGTTTTTTTCCATTCTGGTTCTGGAACATTGATGGTGCAGTTGGAAGAAGAGTTGTACTTGTTTGGGTTATTGTCATGTACGTTGGACAAGCGTTAAAAGATGTAATAAGATGGTTGCGGCCGTCTTCCCCTCCAGTGGTTCATTTGGAACCAGAATATGTTAAAGAATATGGTATGCCTTCTACACATGCGATGCTAGCAGCAGCCGTGCCATTTTCACTTCTCATATTTACTATGCATAGATATGAGGTATGTGTTTATAAATTTTTTATTTTAAACTATTAAATCAAGTTATCATAACAAAAAGTTTAAAGCTGTTAATAGTATTATATGATCTAATATTATCATAATACATCATAATGAAGTCATTTTGGTATACCATCATTTTTGCTGATGTTTTGCAGCATTAGTAAAACTATTTCAATTTTATTAAAAACAAATACATGAAAGAGTCCACAAACCATTTAACCAATTCAGCAAATTTTGACCTTTCCCATTCTAGTGGCTCTGTCTGTGACCAGAGAAGTGACTCTATTTCCCTTAAACCACATAGTCTAAGGAAACTGGACTCACAAAGACTTATTTTATTTTTAAATGTAAACACCAAGTGGGAGAATAGTAAATGTTTTTGCTTAACTTCCTTGAACAAACATAAAGACACAGATCAGCTACAGAACAATTGTAAAAGTTCAAAGTACAGTGGATAACTTGGAAGGTTTCCAAATATTTTTCCTGTTTAAATATTGCCAATTAACTTTTAGAAGTTATATGATATCCTTATCTCTCTTAAGCTGGGCTATATGGTTTGTGGATGTTCCTCATTACAGTTAGCCTCAAAGTTTATGAGAAATATATCATTTATGAATAAAATTTAAGTATAAATTAATAAAAACTTATAATTCTAGTTAATTTGTCTTAATTCAGTCTTCAGTTATGAGTTAGAACATTTTTCAATCTCTGGTTTAGGTCCATTGTCCACAAAAATTATAGCTTAAATAAAAATAAAAAATTTTTTTATATGTTTAGACACCATGAAGTGTTAACATTATACACTGGACTTTTCATGTCCACTTTATTTTCTTATGTACTTTACAGTCTTTAAACTAATTGTTCCAAGTGCCAATATATGTTTTGGGCTGGTGCCCCTCATCTGCTGGCTAACAATATTTATCAATACATAATATTAGCGAAATATCCAAAACAAATAATAGAAAAATGGAATTCAGAATAAAATTGCAGAAAAACAAAGTATAAAATGCATAGTCTTTTTGTACATTCAAGGTCTTTTTGAAGAATTAAGTACAATATTTGGTAGATTTAATATAAAATTAGTCCCACTTATAAAAATTTACAAAACCAAGTGATTAATCACAAATCAAAGATTAAGAAAAACAACACAAGTGAAATAACAAATCTCATATATGCTCTCCCATGTACTTGTGATGATTCTCAAATTTACATAGAAGACAAGAAGAAAAATGAAAGCTAGATTAAAAGAATATATTACCGATTTAAAATGCAATATAATTAATTCTGTTTTTCACATTGTGCATTCTATTACTGTAATATAGATATATATAAAAATTCTACATCGTGAACATAATACTTGTAGAAAATAGAAAGCATTGAAATTATAAGATCTAATAATAAACCTAATAAAAATTTAAATATTAAAATAAATGATAATTGGGTAAAATTATTGTAAAATCAAATAAATAAATATGCAGATTATTTAATGTGGAAGTACAATTTGTGGGATGATTCACAGAGTGATGATTCACAGGCATTGTGATTGTAAAATTTAGCTTTGTATAGTTTTAGGAATTTTTAACTGGTTTATAGTACACAGTAGTGTTTTGGTTTTATGTACATCAACAATAGAATAAAAATCACTGTAGAGAATGTGTATCAGGTATGTCTAAAAATTAAAAGTTTTTGTAAAGCCATATTTTGCTAGTATTATGTATTGATAAATATTGTTAGCCAACAGATGAGGGGCACCAGCCTGAAATGTGTAACAATTAGTTTAAAGACTAATTGTTCCAAGTGTACATAAAAAGTACATAAGAAAATAAAGTGGATGTGAAAATGTCCAGTATCTAGTATCAACACTTCATGGTGTCTCAAAATATAACATAGAGGGCACAGAGAAGAAAAAGCATTTTTTAAACAAAATTATAAAGCTTACAAAAAAATAAGCATTTTAGGATAGATGTGTACAACTCTGAGTCAAAAAATTATCATAATCTTACAATTCCAGTGTTTTCTAACTTTCACAGCCGATTGCAGAGACAGAGTTTACGTTAAATGATGTTTATCAACAGAACAGCCTATAGACGTTGGCTGGCTGAACTGCGGTTTAAAATGCATTGCAAAGACGACGATCGTCTATTTCTGAACACCCTCTAAACGAACTTTAGCAAAATATTGGCTCTTACTTTCTTTGCTATTACTTCCGTTTTAGGAATCATTCGGTCAATCGGGTTATTTGTTTGTGACATCAGAAATGGTCGCCAGCTATATTCCGAAAGCTTCCAGAAATAAAATCTTAAGGCCGTCAAAATCATTGTTTGGCAATTAATGACAATCCTTTTCCATTTCGATATTTAATTTTGTCGCCAATACAATTTAAAATATGAACAAATCCATATTTAGAAAATTTATACCATATTCGAAATTCATCTTCGGAATAGATTTTTAAGGAATTATTTTGACATTTTATTACTGTCTCCCTTTGTAACTATCAAAATGAATAATTTTAAATATTTTATTATTAATATTACATTTTTTTTATATCTATAAACAGATTTCTGTAATTATTAAAATTGTCTTGTTTAACAGTACAATGATTTCGAAATGCATTAACGTTNCAGTACAATGATTCTGAAATGCATTAACGTTTTATAACCGACACGATACTCGAATTGTAAATAAATGCATCTGATTTAAATTAATTGTAGTTTTATCTATAAACAGATTTCTGTAATTATTAAAATTGTCTTGTTTAACAGTACAATGATTTCGAAATGCATTAACGTTTTATAATCGACACGATACTCGAATTGTAAATAAAAGCATCTGATTTAAATTAACTGTAGTTGTAAGTCTTTACCCATTTGAATATTGGAATTGGAACATTTAAAACAAATTTAAAGTATTTAATTTTGTTATTTTTGCTCCAAGCAATTAATTAATGAATAATTTTGTTGATTCGTACCATTTACAACATTTATCAAAGGAACGATATCTGTTTTTATCTAAACTTTTCCATGAAAAAAGCTACCACTCGAATTGAAAAGCCCTCTAAACCTGCTGTTGAGTGAGTCTAGAAAGTAGGTTAAATAACTTGTTTTTAATTGCTGTATACATTTTGGCAGGCGATAAACACCATCTCTGCAATGAAATTTTTCTGAACAGCGGTCTACCCGATCTGTAAACCTCCATCAGCCTCTAAACGCTCTCTCTGCAATCGGCTGTCAGTGTTAAAACAAGGGTTTAGGCCAGTGTTTCCCAACATGGGACCTACCCCCACAGAGGGGCAATTCGAAAATGGACTCATCCAGAGTTTGTTAACTGTATGGCCGCTGTATATGTTAGGGGGTAAAAGAATTTTAGAAAGGCTTAGTGGGGCATAGCACAAAAAAGGTTGGGAAACACTGGTTTAGGCAATGAGGTTGAATGTTGAGTTACAAAGGTGATTTGCTAGCTACTTCAAGTATTAAGAAATGTATTCGGTATTCTTACATTCATAATGTCATTTATGATCTAAGCAACTAATAAAAATTGATATAGTAATTTGTCTTCTCTGTAGTTATCAAGTAGGTGTAATTTTTAAAACATTTTTGCTTTTTTCAATAAATTTATTAAAAATTACTTTAGCCACCACAAAGCTGTTACAATCATAAATGTAAGAAAACTGAATGTCTTCTTACTCTTTAAAGTGGTTGACAAATCACCTTCGTAACACGATCTTTGAACTTTCATCAAATAAATGCTGTTGTCTTAACTGTAAAACTTTCTTTTTTGTTACTGTTGTGCTACAGTTCTTGTTGAATGAATGAATAACTTCAGAAAAGTTTATGGTTTCTTGGTACCATAAGCTTAATTCCAACAATAAGACAGACGTTTAATAACATTAATATGTATAATAATAAACGACGATTGACAACTTAACCAGATCAGTCTTCTCTAACAGATAAAGGATATTGTTTAGCTTTATACAATCTGCCCTCCTCCCCTATTCCTATTTTAAGCCAGTGTTTATTTGATGCCTACAATCAAAATTCATCTTCTGAAAGAGTATTTGATTCGCAGAGTGCTAAGCTTGTGTTAAGTAGTATATGGCTGCTGTCTGATATTATTGGTACTGTATCCAATGTCAACAATCGAACTCTGCAAATAATTCTTTAAATAAAAATTAAATCAAGGTATGTAAAATATTTTATAGGAAAATTTGGCATTGTGATTGTAAAATTTAGCTTTGTATAGTTTTAGGAATGTATTCTGACTGTTTGAGTTAATTATGCTTTCTATTTGCAAAATTTCCTCAACCTTAACACAAAATAGGAAAAAAGTGAATTTTTAAGAAATTTGCAGGATTTCCCAGGGTAATAAAACAATCAGGATCTGTGGATCCTGTTTAAGAAACCCTAATCCAAACATTTGAAATGTTTCAATTGGTTTGATTTCAATTTTAGTTTCAGTTTCAGTGTAAAAACCAGATTTTTAATTATTATTTTAGTTTTAATTAACTGGCTATTTAGTATTAATAAATATTAATATTATAATATCAATATATAATATTATATTATAAAATTTTTTTTATTTAATTTGAGTTAAACACTTTTAAACACAGATTCATGGATATAATTTATATTAGGTGAATGTCAATTAATAGCAGTTTTTATATTAATTTGATTTAAA